TATATTGCATTCTTTCAGCCATTGCTGTGGGGAAGGATTTTAGGAAACCACTTCTGGTATAGCTTCCAAAATGTCCATTTTCAAGCCTGTTTCTGTGCACATCCCTAAAACCAATCTGCTTCAGACAAGAGAATGGGCAGATCATGCAAACTGGACCAGCATACAGATATTAAAGGCTGACTCTACATGCTTACATGCAAGATCAAGAGGAGGGTTGCACACACATATTCAAGGGTGACTGCTGTTCCACACATTGTAAAAGGAACTGTCAAAGTGCTTGTCACGAACTGGCCATCTCTCACCAATAGCTGCATTTAAGCATTAAAGAAGTGATACTTCTATTATTATTTTTTAAGTACAGGGATACTTGTGTTAGCTCTGCAACAGAACACTAGTTCTTGCCCTACAAATACTTTTTCAAAGGAACATTTACTAACAGTACAAATATTGTCACAATAGCTGGTTACGTGGCACTAAGATCAGTGTAACCACAAAAGTACATTACATTACATTCAGCAATCCAAACATCTATTTGATTCATGGAAAGATGTTTGGTTCATGGAAAGAAGGAAACCACATGAGGTAAAGGAATCTTTTGGTGCTGAATGTTGGATATTCCTGTGATTGACCTGCAGGAAACACCTAACCATTTAATCTTTGTCCCACCACCAGTGATTTATGCCAGGAGTTACTCAGGAGTTTTGGACTGCAACTCCCAGAAGCCTTCACCACCAGCTGTCCTGACTGGGGTTTCTGGGAGTTGCAGTTCAAAAGCATCCGAGTAACAAAGGTTAAGAACCACTGATTTATGCAATGGGGAATTCATTTAAATAAGACTAACTTTGAACTGTTTCTGTAAACTAGAATCCACCCTTATCCACAGCACTGATTGATTTTTTTCTGTCAAAAAGTGTTTGATAAGTGTTGTTTTGTTGTTTTTATTCTATTACTCTCAATAAGATTACACTGTTTTATATTTTTGCATTTGGTGTCTTAAATTCCGATACTTCACAGTAGGCCTGTAGGCATTTCTTGGGATAGACATTCTTGTTTATTGCTTGTTTTGTGGTAAGTTAGAACCAACTGTAAACATTTCAGCTCTATAAGACACTGTTGTCAAAACACCTCCATTTTGTCTCCTACCTTCCATCTCATCTGTTAAATATTTGCCAAGCTGGCAAAAGCTAATAACCAAGGATGCCAGACCATCAAGATTGATGTTTCCATTGAAATGGAAAAGAGAGGCATCGTCTGTTTCTTAGTACCCTAGACTATGCATCAGCCCTTGGAGCTGATGAACCATGATTGCTATGCTCTAATTCAATCAGAAGAATAACTTGCCACTCATTAATATTTTAATGATTAAATAATGAGCCACCTAGTACCAGAAAAACTGCTCATCAGATGCAACTATAATATTTCCAGAGTGGCATCCATCCTTTTGTTCCTCAGGAAAATCCTCCTCATGCAAACATCCTTGGTAAAGGTAAAGGTTCCCCTTGACAATTTTTGTCCAGTCGTGTTCGACTCTAGGGGGTGGTGCTCATCCCCGTTTCCAAGCCATAAAGTCAGCGTGTTGTCCGAAGACAATCTTCCGTGGTCACATGTCCTGTGCGACTTAGACACGGAACGCTGTTACCTTCCCACCGAGGTGGTCCCTATTTATCTACTCGCATTTGCATGCTTTCGAACCGCTAGGTTGGCGGGAGCTGGGACAAACGACGGGCACTCACTCCGTTGCGTGGATTCGATCTTACGACTGCTTGGTCTTCTGACCCTGCAGCACAGGCTTCTGCGGTTTAGCCCGCAGCGCCACCACGTCCCTGTAAACATCCTTACTTCTCTGCTACTTGGATAATGGACTTGTTGACGTTTTTCTAAAAGATCCTAGCTACACATCCAACTTTGTGTTTTACATTCCCACTAGTTTTCTGTACAGAAGAGGTCTACTGTGGCCTACAGATGACTGACTCCCTAAATCTGAAATGTACAACCTTCCCTAGATCTGCATGTATCCTATAATCTAGGTTGTGTGCAGTAATTGCTCCAGAGCTGTAGACCACAAAATATGTACTCAGTAAACATACATGCATGCCACCAATCTGTTTTGGTTACTAAAAGGAATAGAAAATTTTCCTGATAGACAGTGCTGATGGTAATCAAACTGGAAGAGAAGGTAGCTGAGGAGGCCAAGGCATCATTGGGGGTGCATTTAAGTCCTGAGGCATCTTTGTGCAATGCCCCTGGCCACCAATTTTTCATATTTGCATTCTTTGAATTCCTGAACAATGGATAGCATGTTTGTGGCCAGAGAAAACACAATGACTCTAGCATTCTGACTTAAAATATCATGTAGGATTCCTTATCTGCTCCATATTTGTCTATGGAGAGACACAAAGCTAATTCCCCCACTTCCCCACCGACCTGCATCATTCCTCTTCTGTCATTTCATCTAAGTACCTCATTTTTCATGTGTTTGTAACAGAGAAACCTCTCCCACAAACATGGAAATATGCCCATATCACATATTCTCACATCTGTTTACCTCTGATTATTCCCCACTTAACTTAATGGGGTTTCCTTCTGAGTAGAAATGCAGAAATTTGCATTTCCAGATGCATAGAGACTGTGTCCTTAACAAACTCTGCAACTATTTATTAACAAACTCGGAGTTAGCTTCCTTTTTTATTTTAACATCACAACAAATAATACTTTCAGACTCTCGGTTCACATTTTTGTGCTAAGTTGAAAAAACAGATTAAACAAAAAAGTTGTACCGCCTTAGAGTTATAACAAGTATTTTCAGAGGTAATTATGGTAGTCCCTTCATCATAAAAGTGTCTTCAATATGAAGGTTATCACACAATGAAAGTCACTGATGCACACTGATCCAGATTCTCAGGATGTAAATGAGATTTATGAATATAAAAGGTTTGCCATTTCTGCTTTCATTCTTGAGCCATTTTCCCCATAAATTGTAGTGTTAAATAAAAAGACACAACTTTAGAATATTCACCATTTAAACACCCTTTTTTGTTCTTTGGATATTTAAAGTGGGCTGTTTAGTACTTCAAAGGTGTGAATCAAGATTGTGAAAGTTTTTTTAATTAATATCAATACCATATGAAAAAAATAGTTATAAATGTCCCAGGCCAAACAGGAGTGAGTTCACAGACCAGAACCAAAGGCCTGATTTAGCTCAGGGTTCAAAGAAGAAGTATATAAAAAGCAATATGATGCACATTTTAAACTGTTGTCTGTTCTGACTGAATGTGCCAGAACATGTTTCAGGCACTATTCTTCTAGCAGGTTTTATGCCTGTCATGTTTTTCTCCTGTTTTACACATTGGGCATTGAATTTCTTGTTGCTTTCCAGCTCTTTCAAACAAGCACTTTAGAGCATCCAAAAGATGATCATGAACACGGCTGGAAGGGATATTCATCCCATTAAGAGAAGTGGAGCCAAGAAGAGAAAGGATGGATTGCAAAAGTAAAAGTTATAGCCTAAGAGGCTACATTACCTGGAACTCTGTGTATTTCCATAGGCCAAGTCTGTTCTGTTAAATATCCTGACTCAAATGGCAAACCTAAATATACTTATAAGGAAGTCTGAACTATGAAACACAGCGGGAATGCTTTCCACAGGGCTCTTGGTGAATTACTGGGGTAGAATATTACTTAAGAGAAAGATTCCAAAAAAGTAGGGATACCTTTTCTGCACATGGAAAATAAGGGATCTGCCACTTTCTTCAGCCTGGAGCTTGCATTTCCATATTTCTACCCCTTGTATTCTCAAATGCAGCATATACAAATAGTGATCACTGCAATGAAAACTATGATTCAGCCACAAATGAAAAACATGGGACAGCAATCCCATGTAGGAAAATGTGTTAAATTTACTGTAGGTGATAAAGCTTCCCTACTCTGGCCCCCAAAGATTTAATTATCTGTACATCTGGGACACATGTTGTATATTACACATGCATAAGACTATAGAACATCACTACATCATTCTTCCATGCAGGGAAATTTAACCTTTGTAAAATTGACCTACGTACCTTTTGAAACTGTGTTTGAAGTGTGTTTCATTGTAGTCAAATAAAGTTGTTTCATTGTAGTCAAAGAAACAACTCTGCCCCTAACTTTGTGTAAGTGTGGGCTGAGAAGGTATCTGCCAGATATTTATGTTACACACAAAAGTTACAAGGAAACTGACACAAAGACAGGAAATAAAGAGGGGAGGCGGACACCACTGGTTCACACAAAGCTGTGTGCAACAAACTCCCTGAAAATACCAAGCAGCGCAGCAAAGCTGTCTGCAGACTGAGGAAAGGAAAAGTATAACACAAGAGGGCTTTTGTCTCAATATGGTGAGGGATCTCACTCACCGCCTCTTGTAGAAAAGAGCAGTTTTGGTTAAACTTGTTCTGAAACTAAAGAACCACTCCGACCTCATCGGGAATATTTAAACCTCTTTCTTCAGAACAAAACAAGATCCGATCTTAGACTAAACCGTGAATACACAGGGGGCGGGATTTAAACACATGGTGGCAAACACTGGATTCCATTCCTTCCTCTCAGATTAGATATTAGCAACCCATCCATCCATCCCTTTCATTGTACTGTGGCTCTTCACGGGGTAGCTGAAGATAAACACCGAGGTGATTTTTTCCCCCTAAGAAATGCTGGGATCCATATGCTATTAAATGACAAGTTTCCAGCAACTTCCCTCCCAGGACGACTATTTTTAGAAACCAGCCTGGTACAGCCAAGCACTCTGCATATGATGGGAGGCCCTCTCGTCCAGGGGCTCCAGTCTCATCCAAGGCCATCCTTTTTGACGGCCTTGACACAAAAGCCTTCGTGGCTTGCACTATCTTACTGCACCCCTCGCCCGGGCTCATCTCTG